ATTACTTTTTATCATGTAAACAATGTAAAAAAAAAGGGGTTAAGTTTGACTAAAAAGAAATTCAAATATGAATCAAATTCAAGATGGTGCTCAATACTGGTAAAAATCAACATTTTAGCTCCTTACCTTATAAAGTCATTCATCTTATAATATGATATTTTTAACCCTTTATTTACAAATTTGGTAGGTTTTAGCTCCTCACTTTATAAAATTAGTAGGTTTTAACTCATTACTTTATATTATGACATTTTTAATCCCTCATCTATACAAATTGAAGAAAATAACTCTCATTTAATATTAGGTTATAATATTTTGTTGGTTCTGTTAACTGACTGTTAACATCCGTTAGTATTTCGTTATAGAAAATATGAAATTTAAATTCAATTTTATTTGTTAGTTCCATTAACGGAATGATAATGGATGCTGACAGTCAATTAACAGAACTAACAGCCAGTTAACAAAACTAATAGTCAGCTAACAGAATTGACAGTCAACTAACAGAACTAACATAACATTATAATCTGATGTTAAATAAGAGTTATTTTCTTCAATTCATATAGATAAAGGATTAAAAGTGTCATAATATAAGGTGAGGGGCTAAAACCTATCAATTTTGTAAGATGAGGGGTTAAACTTATCAACTTTGTAAGGTAAAAGAATAAAAATGTCATATTATAAAATTAGGGATTAAAACCTACCAATTTTATAAAATGATGGATTAAAAAGTTGGTTTTAGTCCTCAATACTCACCGCAAAAAGTTGAGTTGTATCCAATTTTCTTTTTTTTTTTTTACGGTAGAAACTTAGTTAGTCTAATTATATTAGTTTCTGTTAGCAAGCATAAGGACTCGAACTCAAGACAAGGGTTGATCTCCACTTGCTCCTCGCTGAGTAGCGCGGCCCAATTAATGGGACGCATGGGGGAGATCATCCAAATTTAATTAGGCTCAAAATTAGGTTAGGCTTGATGTGATTTGATTAGACTCTATTTCATTAATTTAATTAAAAAATAATTATATATTTTAAATATTAAAAAATATATTATTTTTAACTCTTAAAAAATTAAAAATTTAA